TACTGTAGAATTTATAATAGGTATATACTGTAACATATAACCACCATCCAAAACACTCAATCCTGCTTCAGATTTGAGAGGTATGTACAATGCTGGCAGCAGCTTTTGCACTGTGCTATACTAGCAAAAAATAAATGGCTTTCATTATATGTGAAATCACGATTACCCTTATTTTTATTGATTTTATTTTTTTAAATCCTTGGATTGGATCAATTTGTTTAGACCACAGTATGTCAGTAGCTGTTCATGAACTCCAGTGAAAAACCTACTTTCAGCAAGCTGTTCGAACTAACAGATGAGATACTTTCAGGATAACACAAGGTATTAATCACTGTGGAATCTGGTGTTGACTATTTTTAATTGATTTTCTAAAGGAGCCTGTGAGGAAATCCTTGCCTATCAAGTTCCAAAAACATTTCCTAAAATTCTTTCTGAGGGGTAAGCAGAAATTATGATCTCTGAACTTAATACACAACATAACATTTTCACCGACTGCTATAAAAATCCTTCAAAATGGATGTCAAACAAAATAGGAAGTAGGTACCTCTGAGTTATGCAATTGCCCTCTTAAACTCTGATTGTTCTAAAGACTTGGTTTGTTGCTGCTGTTAAGATTTAAAAAAAAATAGTGTCTTTCAATAGGTAGAAACTATCCGTGCCATATACCGATAGTGGATTAACTTTTAACCAATTAAATTCACACATAATTTTTTGAAAATTGATTTGTAATTCAGTTTTGTAATCTACCAGAAAACATTACTTGACTGCTGAACGAAGGGTTAAAAATTCAGAAAGTAGAAGGGACTAAGAAGAGCAGCAGATGGTCAATTCCTCTTATAGCTTTTTCACCTTTGAAGTTACTGGTTCAAAGCCCTGTCAGGCCAGTAGTAACAAGTTCTTTAGCATCTGAAGATTGTTTTATGACTTAGTCTACATGAAATCTGGGCCCTTTCACAATTATTACAATTACTTAGAAGGAAATGGAGGGGAGGAGGAAAGGGAAACTTTTTGGCATGGCTGGACCAGATTTTCATTTGTGATATCTTCATGGATGCTTCTGTTTTTGGTAGACTAATACCAGCTTTTGAACAGTAAAAAGATCATAGGAGTCCAATCATACACCAGGGTGGGAGTATTCATCCTAGGACTGCCAATTTTGGTTGGACATATTCCTTGAGGTTTCATCACATGATATAATAATTAACTACAGATTAATCTTTTATTCCTGGAGCCTGCGGGACAATCCTGGAGGGTTGGCAACCCTAATTTGTCCCTTCCAACCTCTATTCTGCTTTGTGCTTCGACAAGCTGCCATGTGAGGGACGAATCATCCTCCCCTAAACCTTGCTCTAGCTCTTGCTGTTTCATGTATATTGGGGACATCTTCCAACCCAGAACTCCCATGACTCCCACAAAATGCATTTATAAATTAAATAAAAACATGTTCCCACAAGCAGTTGGACCTACAATGACCCAGGATTAATATCTGATGCTACAACAGTGTAATATTACCATATTCTACACTACTAGGAATACAGCCTTACCACTGTAGCCTGCGCTGGCCTACTCTTACTGAGTATACCTTGGGTAACATGACAGCATCAAGGAGAATTGCTGCCACAGAAGTTGAGGGGATAATTATTACTTTCCCTCTTGTTTCTTGCTGAAGCCAATAATCAGTTAAGAAATGGACATTGCAACAGGGGAAAACCAATTTCAGTACTCATCATTAAAAAGCTGTTAATGACTGCAATTAAATCAATGCGTATGTTTATAAATACATCTTAATGAACAGTGATCACTCAAGTAGTTAAGTTAAATTTGTGACATCACACTGTTGAAAATATATTTCCTAGTTATCACTGACTCAGAACCAGGAATACTGGATTGATTCCACCCTCTACACCCATTTGGCAAGTGCTCTAATATTTTTTCTTTTCTAAATGATTTTCTTTCACCTTACTATGTTAAAATACTTTGAAAAGAAAATGTAAATATAGGCATAATAAATCCCCAAAATAAGAAAAATCCAAGTTTATTGTAGTACTATTTTGTTTATGTCATTTTACTCTAGTCGTCTATAGTATCTGTGTACAAACTATGAATCTTTCATCTACTATGTTTTCCTGAGGCGATAAGCATTCAGGGAACACTTGCTCCTTGAGTATAATTTTTTGAGTGGTGATGGTTTGGGGAAGCTCTGCTGAACATTGTGCTTCATTTTAAAGGAGGAAATAGGTGTGGTAATATAAAATATTAGAGCTATTTTTCAGATTAAGTGTGACAATGAGGTTCTGATCACTCATGGTCTTCAGAGGTATCTTCTTGTTAGACTGGGATTGTTAAACCCCAAATTCCAATGTGAATAGTTGTGTTCTGCCTACTGAAATCCCCTTGCAACTTCAAATGGTTCAGTACTCTAGACTTCATTTCCTAAAACGGTGTGTAGCTCTTTTTGTGTTTTTAGAAATAAGTGCAGTTTGGTAGGTGAAGTGATGAGTCTTGAGAGTGAGAAAGGCAGAGTTTGTAAAGTACTTTGTGAGCTTTCAGGATGAAAGGCACTATATAAATGTTGCTATTTCAAAAATCAAATTATATTGAGCCAAGTCCTGAGAGGAGCTGAACATATGCAAGTCAGTGGGAGTAGCTGTTGCAGTGGCAGAACCAACAGAGGGGCAAAGGGGATGGTCTCCCTTCCCGCACCCCGAGCCCTTTAGGTGTATGCATGGTACTTTTTCAAACACATTTTTCAATTATTCAGCCTATCTCCTCCCCTCCCCCAACTCCTCTTAGTTACAAAACCTGGCTCCACTACTGTGCAACTGCTCAGCATCAATCAATTAGTTTGTCATGTGACTGTTCTCTGTGGCACTGAACAGGGAGAAAGGATAAATTCACAATATTGAATGTGCTTTGGATAGAGAAGTTCTCAATGCCCAAATTATGTACTTATGACACTTCAATATGCACTGTACAAAGATCAGTCTACCACAAAGCAGCTGATACCTTGAAATAATTTCTTACTCAGATGGAAATTTCCATTTCCAATATACTACTCTTTGCATTCAGGTTTTGAATGTTAGCAATGCTCTTTAGAGAAACCTAGTTACTGTTTCCATGAATAAGATAACAAAATGGTGTTTATCCTGTGTAGATCAATATAGTGTCTTGTTTGAACATATTGAGTCATTCAAAGACACATCTAATGAAGGCCATTTTGCTGTCATACTCACAGCACTACCACTGCTTGTGAAGAATAGCATTCTTTGAAAACAGCTACTGAATTCACTAACTAAGAATGCATATTTACTTGAGAAACCATTCAGTTCATAACCGGAATTTTAAGGATACCTTTCACCCCCTTTTAAGGCCTCAGCTATGATTCTTCATTAACAAATTATTCTTTCTTAAACTATTTTTTTCCAATTAATCCAGAGAGCAGAAATGTTTCGTTTTCCCCCAGGCTCTGTGATATCTGTCCTGAAAACACTTAGGGTTCTAAGCACTTTGGTTGGTTGTGTTTGCAGAATTGGGTCTTGTATTAGCAGTACAACCACAAAGCTTAATTCTGACACTCTTACATATAGTATCTATCTTCACATGGTCATAATGAAAATGATTATTACTCAGTGTCAATAGAGGTAGTAAAATGGGGAGAGAGCTAAACTACATTTAGGCTATTCAAAAAAGCCACAAATGTGGTGGGTAGTGATTACAGTCCACAGGTTCTTTACAAGATGAATATTAATATAAACTAAAAGCTTGTGCACATTCTATTTACATATCTTATTTACTCTTGAAAAATAACTTATGCATATAGTTTAAAAAGATCTTAGACCACATAATTAAATATTTGTTCATTACCAATTGTTTGGGGCTTTTGAACATGACAGAAACAATCAACACAACGCTATTACAGAAAACCATAAACATGCCAAAAAACTCCTTCTAAAGGTAAAGTTTGTTACTGAATCTACTCCCCTTTTTATTTTAAACATCAAAAAAAATCTAAGACTTTTGATTCATTTAATAAAGAAGTCAACCTCACACCCACATGTGTGATCTTTGAAGCCTTGTATATATCTTGGGGGAGGGGGGAAGGAGAAACAATTTGAGAAGCTTAATATATTAAACATTATACTTTTCCCCCCTGTTTTGATGAAGTTGTGTATATGAACTCAGGTATTTTGGAGCAGTGATTGCCTATAAAATGGAGAGTAACATTTTATAAAAGGATGAAGAAATATTGTAAAAATAGCTCTTGGGAGATATACCTAGCTTCTTGGTGAAAAGATCCAATGTCCCTAATGATTAGCAATGGAAAGCTGTGATTTAACAACTCAAAAGTGAATTGTCTTGGGTAAAATCTCCCTTCTCTCCCTGTCAGTCTAATTTCTTAATAGATGAAAGCGACCAACCACATTTTGCTCCTGTTCGGAAAAGGGATCACCTTTTCACTATCCGTACAGAAATGATGGCAACATTGGGCAGGTGGAGTTCTTTGAATGCCCCATCTTGCTTTCTGGGGCTTGCAAAAGCTTTGGGGGTCACCAGCTAAAGAGCCTGGGGTATAAAGACTATAAGTTGATGTGAAATCTGATCAAGAGCAAGAAGTGCAGACTCTAGCTGTTGTCACTACTATATCTACTTCAGCACTTTTCTGTCTGACACAACAATGAGCAATCTAGCACAGCCTGTGATGTTCAGTGGTGGTAAGCTTCCCAGAGTGCTCATGCCCTCATTGTTTCTGAGTTAGAGAAATTAACTCAAGAAATAAGCAGAACATGTGAAAATTGTGAATGCGGGTGCTTCCTATATTCTCTAACATGTGCATTAAAATTTCCCAATGGCTCCTTTGTAGAAAGAAAGCAAGCTGTAATTAAAACACTCCTTACAAATCCGAGTAAAGCAGATAGCGATGAAAGCTGCTTTTAGCTAGATAACAATATTCCCTCTTTTTAGAAACTTAAGATGGAAAAACCAAACAACATGGACTGTACCTGAGCAATTTCAGAGATCACCACCCGGAAAAGTTCTCCTTGATTATGGGGAATTTGCGACGTGTCACTCTGGTTATTCTCTAATCATCATATCAAACTCCAAAGGTTCAGCAGCCTCAGCTTGGTTTACAGTCCCTGCAGGTTAAACTTTAACTCACCCTATCTCTCAGTTCCATGCAGCCCTTTGACCAGATAATTGGGTCACTGCAGCTCAGACAATATCTACATAAACTACATTTGTTTACAAAATTCAAAAGACTAGGTCAGAATTTTACTTGAATAGAAGTATATAAGCTGGGAATGTAATACCATTTTGAAATTGATTACTGTTTAGTTTTTTTATCTAATTTCCTGGTTAACTCATCCTCACTTTAAAGATCAGATTCTTTAACTTTGTTCTCTTAACAGGGTTCTAATGTAGCTCTTGAGGGAACATAGGGGTGTCCTATCTAATCTGAATGATACCTACCCAGTCTTACATACTACTTTTGTTCAGGTATTTAGCAATAAATACAATATTTAAGGCTAGTATATATCTGAATAAGAACTTTGTCCATATTACATAACACAAGCTTTCAGTCCATAAACTGAATAGGGTCTTACAACTTAGAAAATTGATGAGTGTCACAACCTTATTTGTTCTCCAAATAAACAGAATAATAGCTACAGTGGGAAGTAGGACGAAAACACATTGCCCATTGCAAAGAAATCTCAAGGCTAATTATGTCTTTAACAGAATAACACTTATGAACATACAAACAATATGTATGGAAATAAATTTTAAAGATCCCAAGTAGTGCTCTCTAACAGTTCAGTTTGCATACAAAAATTTCATTGGTAGGTGCTGAAAGATGATTTCTGTTCACCCCCATTCCTCTAAGAATAAATCTCAGTTGCAAATGAACCAAAATACACAATACCTTTAAAATGCAATAGTTAAACCTTTTAAAACTATAGTTCCAGCAAGAAATAAGGGGGGGGTGTTAGGGGTGAGAAATGCATTGTGTTCTGGTGGTTTTAAAAAAAGACCCCCAAATCCTGCACAAATCTTAAACTGCTAAAACAATTTTTCAGTTGCATGCTCCTTTAATGTAAGGAAAAACTGGCCACAGCTGCTTCTGAGCTCTGGTGCACTTCAGTCCCAAACTATAATTTGCTATGCCATCAGAAAATTTTGCTTCCAGGAGCAAATCCATCCTCTTCTTCTTATAACATCATATGAGTGCCTATCCTATCCCAAAAGATCTTGCATTACTCTTGTCATAATGGGAAGTATTTAGGTAATAAGGACTCGCCATGGAATCCACAGTGATGAGCAGGACCAGGGGAACAATGACGAAATACCTACTGATGAGAGAACAGTGAATGCAGGCTCTTTGGGGATTATAGTTTTGAAATGTTTTATTGCCTGCATTTTAAAATAGTTATTTTTAAGATTTCCTCTTGTAGGAAGCCATTCTCCAAGGATTTCCAGAAATGAGTAGCTCTATCTCAGTCTGCCACACTTCCTCTGATAAATGTAGAAAGATAAAAACTAGTTAGAAATTCCCATGAGCTCCCCCCTTCTTGCCTCACCCCCAACGTGCCCCCATGAAATCCTCCCCATGGGAGGAATACTGAGTCATAGACAAAACAGGAAGTGGTTGATACCACTTCTTGATTAAAGTGGTCACTTATTCTTTTGCACTATGACCCAAGGCTTACATGCATCAGTGAGAATAGTTAGACAATGCAAACACCATCACATATATAAACCAACAAGAAAAAACATTGCCCCTTTGAGAAATAGCATATTTTGGAGACTTGCATGATGACTTCCCAATGGAGGAGAAATTAGTAATGCAGAGGCTGGGTATATTCTTCATACAACTTGTCCTATTTACAAGGTCCTGGACCAGAGGTGGTTGCAAACAGCATGCAGGAAATTCCCTCTTTCAGGGGTCTCAGCTCAAATCCAAACCCCTGGGTCCAAAAGAGCAACTCTACCCTAAAAGTTAACTCTAGTTAGATTAAGGAAGAGAACAACTTCCTTTGCTGCTCGGCACCTACGCTTCCCCAAGAAACTCAGTAAGAAAAGCAACAACCTACAATTTTCTAAAAATTTGCTCTCCTGCTTAAAAAAACCTGTAAGACTATGTATAACAGTGCCATCTAGTGACAGCAATAATATAGCCAAGGATAGCAAATTGCTGGTATAGACCAGAGTTTTTTAGCCTGTGGTCCATGGACCCCGGGGATCAGCAGACAATGTCTAAGATTTCCAAAGGGGTCTGCACATCCATTCAAAATTCACAAATGAAAAAAGGTTGAAAATCACTGGTATAGACAAAACTTAACTATCCCTATCTGTTCTTCAGATAGCTGGAACAGGCAGTACATTGGATCACTTGAGCAAACTGTAAATATTTCTGGGAGAGTGGAAAATCATCACACTGCTTTTGAATGAATTTGCCACAGTTGGAGGCAAGTGCAAAGAGATGTGATCATGAAGTCTAACAGAAAAGTTTCCAGGTACTGTTTCCATCTGATGGCAGGCATTTGGACTGGCATAAAAGATCTCAAAATAAGAATTAGTAAGTAAACGAAAATTTCCCTTAGATTCCCTGAAATTATGAATGAAGTTACTGTATAATGGAAAATATTTTATTTCAGTTTCAAATCTCTTTAGCACAATTTAATAGTGGAATTCAATATACTTGAATGACTTGACAGAGTGTGCTCTAATGTGAGTCGCCATGTTCATTAAAGTTTAAATATATAACACTAAAGATCTAATCTTGCACATGTTTACTGCAGTCACTATTCTGTCTTGCATCAGTTAGACTGTTCAGAGTAGTAGCATTCCAATTGGTACAAATGGTAGCAGGTTTGGGCCCTAATAAGGGTTCTGGACTTTGGGAAGTTTTCTATCATGCCATTGAACTGAGCTAGTAATAAATGCGTCTGACGAAGTGGATATTCACTCACGAAAGCTTATGCTCCAATACATTTGTTAGTCTATAAGGTGCCACAGGACTCTTTGTTGCTTTTTAGTAATAAACTAAAATTTCTAGGGTTTGTTTTCAGGAATTTCAAATATTTATACAGTTTATTGATACTTTAGAATTGGAAAAGTACCATACCACTGTTTGGCTAGTTTTTAAAGGAACTAGCCAATCTCTGCAATGTGGTTAGATAACAGAGGGGTTTACCCAAAGTGAGCAGAATCTATTTTCTAAACAGTGGAACTGAGTCATGTTAATAAGCCAAACAAATCTCACTGACACTGCATTATATTTATCAATTTGATAGTGTTGCAATGGCACAAGTTGGCAATACAAAAATTATTTTAAAAAAAGCATAACTGGAAAAAAGCCAGGAAATTCAGAGTTCAGAGTAAAATATAGGGACAAAATCCTTGGCACACAGACCAAGAAACCAGAACAGTACAGGTGGTGGTTGTAGTATTTGTTTAATGACCATTGAATCTTCTGGTGCATACTTATCAGTCGACACTATCTCACTTCTAGCAGCACAGGCATATGCAGGTAGCATACAGTCTTGTAATATGCTTTATGCTGTTTTTACGCTTTTTGCAACCTCTAACCACTCCTGTGGGAGCATATTAAAGTTTATGGGAGGTGATTGCATGTGCATTGGAAGGGAGAACTTGTATATAAGACAAAACACATTTTCTGACTACAAAAGCAGTGCACCATGGTATCCCTAAAAGTTATTCCTATTTTTAACTCTTGAAATTCTACTCAGAGTTTACACTGGAGAGTCCTGAATCCAGGCTGTTTTGTTCTGGAGCACTGCAATGCAATTCAGTCATCAAGCTAAATGGCTTTCTAAATAAGCATGGGTTCAAATGAAGGCTGCCCTCTTGAGAGGGAACAGTCACATCAGCACAGCAGTGGTAGGAAAACAAAGCTAGAGTCTATCACAGAGCCTTCAGCTCCATTCATCTTCATGTATTTCTATTAATAAATTTAAGTTGCCCAAAACTTGGAGGGGGAGGATTAAATTACATTCTGTAAAATAGAAGTTGCTAGAAATGTTAACTTAGTAAACATTAGTTGTCATTGATGCTAACAAATTACAGATGAGTTACGATCATTAATAGAAGTGATTGCCCATTGAAAATAGCCCCCTTAGTCTTAGAATCTTCAAGTTGGAAGCATTTTTCTCTAACATCACTTCACTGGAGACTAGATTGTTTAAAGTCATGACCTGAGGAGTCAATTGGGCCTCTCTGGAGGTGAGTATTGTCCATGAGTGCACAGCTGGGACTTCATCACTAGAGGAAAATATGTTCATTATGTAAACTGAGAGCATATATCTTAAAATTTAAATGGATATTTGTAAAGCAAAGTATTACAGACATAGGACCAGTTGTTCAGGTGGTGTAGCTCCAGTGAAGTCTGTTTAAATTGGGAGAAATCAATGGAACTAACATATACCAGTTGAGAATCTAGCCTATTAATGACAATGGCAGCCTATGCTATTCCTACACACCCTTCTCTGGCAGAAATGTTAGAATTTTCAGTCCTTTGAAATTTTTACGCTATTTAAATGGGAATCAACCACACAGGGTAAAGGCAACTGCAGGTTTCCACTCAAGGAGTTTCCTTCTCATTGTGTGACAAAAGAACGCTGGAATTCCATATGTTTAAGCTGGGATGAATAGGGGATAGATACACAGATGCCCTATGCTTTTGTGCTGCCACTAGTCCATGCTACCATGGCAAGCCCTACAAGTCCCTTATAGGGAGGATTTCACAATATGGAGGGGAAAACATCAGGAGTTGCCTTTGCTTCAATTTAAGCTTATTGCTTCTTGTTCGATCTTCAAAGGTTAAGGATAACAATTTTTCATCCTCTTCCTTATAACAGCCTTTTATGTACTTGAGGACTTATCATGTCCCCTCTGTCTTTTCTTTTCCAGACTAAACAAACCCAATTTTTTTCAATTTTCCCTCATAGGTCATGTTTTCTAGACCTTTAATCATTTTTGTTGCTCTTCTCTGGACTTTCTCCTAATTGTCCACTTCTTTCCTGAAATGTGGTGCCCAGAACTGGACACAATACTCCAGCTGAGGTCA